TTGTGTTTGATAGAGGCTTCGACAACCTCTCGTCAGTTTCACGGGGAGGGGCAGGTGAAGTTGACGGCTGCGGAGTTGTCAGCCATCAAGGACCTTAAGGCGCTTCCTCGGCCGCTGGATATCAAGTTCATCCTGTCGCTCGAAAGCTCGGCGCATAGGGAGAGGGACCTAGAGAGTGAGAACTTTATCCTCGATCGGCTGTTAGGGTTTTATGTGTTCTCCCTTTTGTTGACGTGTTTCCCTTTTTTTAATTGCAGATCGTATGGGGAACTTGTGGAAGGAGCTCAAGCACCGCTACAATGTTGCCGAGCTCGAGGTGCCCGACCTCCCTGAGGAGGAGGCTCCCCCCCTTAAGGCAAGCCGAAAAAGAAAGAGGGGGGGGGGGAAAGAGACTGGGGGATCTTCCGCTCCCCCAGATACCGAGGAGGTGACCTCTAGGGCCGCCGATGCTGATGCGGTGGACCTTACCGGGAGTCCACCGTCCCAGGTGGCAACTGGAGAGGTGGCTCAGACCGTAGAGCCTGTCGTGCAGGCTGCCGAGGTAAGGATCCCTTTTGCCCCAAACCGTCTAATTTTTGCCTCATCTAAATTTGGTTTATTGAGGTAAAATGGCTCCTTTGGTAGGCTGGGGTGGCCTCTGCTGGAGTGGGAGACCGGGCAGCTGAGTAGGCTGCTCGAGTTGCCGAGGTGGTGAGTCTCTTGTTCTTTGAGCTTTTCGCTTACCCTTTGTTATGTTGGCTGATTGTCTGACTTAGGGCGGTTTTTTGCAGGCAGGAAATGCTGCCCCGGCGGCGACAGAGGCTGCTGGGCGGGTTGCCCAGGCCGTTGAGCAGGTTGTGCCTGCTGCTGAGGTAAGTAGTATTTGCTTATTTTTCTTGGTGATTTTTCCCTAGCCCTTTTGTTCATTTTGTCGTGTGACTGATTTTGTAGGCGAGGTCGGAGATCCCCGTGGTGGGCTTTCAGGATGTTGAGCAGGGGATGCCGGCTTTCGTTGCGGCTTCGGTGCCGCCGGAGGGCTCGTCTCAGGGCCCTTCCCGGACTCGGTATTTGGCCCACCGGTTCGGGAAGGGCTCTGCCAAGGTGCGGCTGGACCACGTGAGCGCCTCCGCCGAGATGGACTCCTTGTGGAGTGCGGGGGTGACCGCGGAGAAGTTCTTTCCTCAGGGCGCGTTGAGCTCCGAGGACCAAGGGTTGGTTGATGAGGTCGGTCCCGAGGATAGCATGGACGCCGCCCAGGTTATGCTGTAGAGAGTTATGGGAATAATGGGCCATTGGAAACCCAAATGGGGCCAGCAGCGGGAGGACTTGGCCAAGCAGCAGGAAGAGCTGGCCAAGTTGAGGGGTCGACTCCAACCTTGGAAAGAGGCCAACCAGATCCTGAGGGAGGAAAATAAAGCCCTTAGTGCCGCCCTTGGCGAGGCGAGGCGGCAGGAGGCCGAGCTCCGATCTGTTCGTGGTGACCTTGCACGGGCGCAAAAGTCTCTAGAGATCGCGTTGCGATCCAATGAGGCTTATGCTTCTCAGGTGGGGGAGCTGCAAGAGCTCGCTGCCTTCTCCAGAAACCGTGCTCGCTCCTTGGAGGACGAGGTGGCGTCTTCCCGTGGCCAAGTACGGGCCTTGGAGGATGTTGTGACCTCCCTAAAAGGGGAGTTGGCGGCGGCAGCTGAGGAGCGCCTCCGCAGCGAGGTCATTCTGGGTGGCCACGAGGATGAGGTCGCCACCTTGAAGGCGGAGCTGGCCGAGCTGGCCGCAGGAAAGGCGGCCGTGGAGAAGAGGCTCGCGGAGGTTGAGCGCTCCGTCGTGGTTGAGCACAAGAGGGGCTTCCAAAAGGCTGCTCGTCAAGCACGACTTCTGGCTCCCGGATTCGACTTTTCTTCCATGCACGTGGAGAAAGTCGTCCGTTTCGGGAGGCTAATCAAGGAGGATGACGCTGATGACAGTTCTAGCGGGGCTGCTTCAGCCTAGGCCGCCTTTGTAATGACCTGTTTTATTTTTCTTTCGCTTGAATTTATGTATTGAACTTTTGAAACTTTGTTTATATATGTGTACAGTTTGCTCTATTTTGTCTATATTTGCGTTGAGTTTTGGGTGTTCCCGCTGTTTAAGGCACACGTTTGGCGTCTGTTGTATGCTTTTGCATGTGGTGCTACTTCTACCTTGAGTTGGTGAAGTCGGGGTTCAAGATCTACCTTAGTTTCCTCTAAAGTTCGTGTGGGAGTTCGGACTTGACCTAAGGTGGATGTCGAGCTCGGCCTTCGGGGACCCTGTTAGGGTTCGTATTCGACCTCAGATTTTGACTAAGCAATACTTGTGAAAGTTCATGGTTGACCCCATACTGGAGTTAAGGTCTGGATCCGACCTTAGGTTGGTTGTGTCAGGGTTTTAGTTTGACCCTAGTGGGTGCCGGCCCCAGAGAATGGTTCGCACTCGACCGTGGGGTTGGATGCCGAGGTCTATTTTGACCTCAAAACTTAGGTGTTTGGGGAGGTTCAGACCCTTCGTCGGATGGTTTGATGAAGGTTTTGAACCTCGACCATCCTTGGGTCAGATTTTGTCCTTGTGGTTTCGTTGAGCAACGTGTTTTGTCCTTACGTTGGCCGGATTGAGGTCAGTTCTGACTTCGTATTTTGGAGTGATCTTGTCGAGGTAGGTTGGGTCTTTGACTTCGGACGACCAAGTTCGTACTCGACTTTTGAACTAAGATTCATGCGCTTCGTCAAGTGGATGTGCCGAAGTTCGTATGCAAGCTTGACCACGCTCTGGTTCGTGCTCGACCTTGCGCTTTGAGCGACTAGTTTTACCGTTTTTCTCATTTTGCCTTTTGGCTTGGGTGGAACGATCTTATTTGAGGATCGTTTGTGGGTCTGAGTAAGCGTGCTATGGTCCGTTTTTGACCTTACGAATTCTGCGAGGTTCATACTTTCCCTAATTGGAACAGTAAAATCCCCAATTGTTCCAATTTAATATAATTTAATCAAATAGTATAACAATAACTTTTACAAATTAATATAATACTCAACAAAATTACCAATTTAATATAATTTTAACATAACGGTAAAATCCCCAATTGTTCCAAAACCTAGCCCACAGGCACTTTTCTACAGTTTCGTTCTCCCTCTCAGATCATCATTCTTACAAATTAAATATATATTTCTAATCCTCAACACATACAGAATCTAATGGGATCCTCAATTTCTCAAACAGTAATAGTCCAATTTTTCCAAAGCCTAACTTACAGGCACTTTCCTATGATTTCGTTCTCTCTCCCAGAGCATCATTTTTACAAATAAAATATATTTTCATAATCCTAAATTCATACAAAATCACATAAAACAAAGAATTCTCTAAACATAAATAATCATAAAATTTGGGTTCTTCCTCTACCCAATTCCCTCATGTAACTCTACATATAAATAGTCCCATTTTCCCTCGTACCTGGATAAACAACAGTTGAAATACAACAGGGATCTCTTGGTCTCCTCCTCTAAGTGCCCCTTGGTCTTTAGAGAGAAGAAGAGGGAAAGAAGAAAGAACAGAAAATAATAGGGAGAGAGAATGAAAGATGTGTGAAAATGTCTTTAAGAATTTTTGTAGCACTTAGACGTCCTATTTTGGAAGTAAGATGATGAGTGGATAGGCTCGCCAAGTTTACTTGTCTTACCCTTAGAAATTCCTTGGTGAAATTGATAGAGTTGTACATGAATAAAGTAGTGAGGTTGCATAAGAATTAGAAAGTAAGAAGCGAGGAGTCTACCATTGCAAAAAAAAAATTTCGGGGACGAAATTTCATAAAGGAGGGGAGTATTGTAACAACCCAATTTTTCACTGGGCCAAGGGCCCAATTCGTTGCCCGGAACGGGCTATTTCAAAAGTGAAACGGGCGTTCCGGAATAAGGAAATGCTTAGAAAATGAAGTGGGAGAACGGGCCGTTCCGGAGGGAGAACTAGCTGTTCTGGAAACAGAACGAGCCGTTCTGCTGAGTTTGAGAACGGGTCGTTCCGGTTTTAGAACGGGCCGTTCCAGTTGAGAAATTTGCGTAGGTTTGAAGGGTCCAGAACGGGCGTTCCAATTTTGGAACGGGTCGTTCCAGTAGGTGAGCCTGAAATCCTATAAATAGCGCCCCTCACCTGTCATTTTCACACATCTTTCATTCTCTCTCCCTATTATTTTCTGTTCTTTCTTCTTTCCCTCTTCTTCTCTCTAAAGACCAAGGGGCACTTAGAGGAGGAGACCAAGAGATCCCTGTTGTATTTCAACTGTTGTTTATCCAGGTACGAGGGAAAATGGGACTATTTATATGTAGAGTTACATGAGGGAATTGGGTAGAGGAAGAACCCAAATTTTATGATTATTTATGTTTAGAGAATTCTTTGTTTTATGTGATTTTGTATGAATTTAGGATTATGAAAATATATTTTATTTGTAAAAATGATGCTCTGGGAGAGAGAACGAAATCATAGGAAAGTGCCTGTAAGTTAGGCTTTGGAAAAATTGGACTATTACTGTTTGAGAAATTGAGGATCCCATTAGATTCTGTATGTGTTGAGGATTAGAAATATATATTTAATTTGTAAGAATGATGATCTGAGAGGGAGAACGAAACTGTAGAAAAGTGATGAGTGAATTGTTTGTGTAAATGTTTATGTGACATTGTTGGTGCATTAATAATAAATCTCGTGATAAGGTCTAAGAATAATCCCCATGCATGAAAATACCATGACATGAGAGGAAAGACCATGTGTGAAAATATAATAAAAGTGAGAAGCATGTACATCATCACTAATAAGACACCATGCATCCTCATTACCATTCATTTTAGGCTCGCCAATACCCCTTGACATGAGTGAAAGAGACCCATGACTATTGAGATTCTCCGTTAGGGGAGAGATCATAAAGTCAAGGAGGGTGGTAAACCTCCATCTTAAAAGCGCACTCAACAAAATTACCAATTTAATATAATTTTAACATAACGGTAAAATCCCCAATTGTTCCAAAACCTAGCCCACAGGCACTTTTCTACAGTTTCGTTCTCCCTCTCAGATCATCATTCTTACAAATTAAATATATATTTCTAATCCTCAACACATACAGAATCTAATGCTAGATGCCACTCGCAGCCGGATCTTCCTCACCTAAAACATCCACAAAATTGTATGGTGAGAAAAGAAAACATCTATACGTAAAGCACATAAGGAAAACACAACATAATCTCATCATTATACATTAATGAAATATTCACAAGCATTTATATATATCATAATTTATCAATCATTCAACATCTTCACATCTCAATTACATCAATCCATCACAATCCACAAAAATCCTACAATTAACACTATGACAAGACCACGCCACAACTGACATAAGTGATACAGGTTAATTGCCTCACTCATCCCACACCATGCTAGGGTCATGCCCTCTTTGTAGTATCACTTACCCAGGGGTCGTGCCATCCCTAGTCATTGATGTGCAATCCCTAATTGGAACAGTAAAATCCCCAATTGTTCCAATTTAATATAATTTAATCAAATAGTATAACAATAACTTTTACAAATTAATATAATACTCAACAAAATTACCAATTTAATATAATTTTAACATAACGGTAAAATCCCCAATTGTTCCAAAACCTAGCCCACAGGCACTTTTCTACAGTTTCGTTCTCCCTCTCAGATCATCATTCTTACAAATTAAATATATATTTCTAATCCTCAACACATACAGAATCTAATGGGATCCTCAATTTCTCAAACAGTAATAGTCCAATTTTTCCAAAGCCTAACTTACAGGCACTTTCCTATGATTTCGTTCTCTCTCCCAGAGCATCATTTTTACAAATAAAATATATTTTCATAATCCTAAATTCATACAAAATCACATAAAACAAAGAATTCTCTAAACATAAATAATCATAAAATTTGGGTTCTTCCTCTACCCAATTCCCTCATGTAACTCTACATATAAATAGTCCCATTTTCCCTCGTACCTGGATAAACAACAGTTGAAATACAACAGGGATCTCTTGGTCTCCTCCTCTAAGTGCCCCTTGGTCTTTAGAGAGAAGAAGAGGGAAAGAAGAAAGAACAGAAAATAATAGGGAGAGAGAATGAAAGATGTGTGAAAATGACAGGTGAGGGGCGCTATTTATAGGATTTCAGGCTCACCTACTGGAACGACCCGTTCCAAAATTGGAACGCCCGTTCTGGACCCTTCAAACCTACGCAAATTTCTCAACTGGAACGGCCCGTTCTAAAACCGGAACGACCCGTTCTCAAACTCAGCAGAACGGCTCGTTCTGTTTCCAGAACAGCTAGTTCTCCCTCCGGAACGGCCCGTTCTCCCACTTCATTTTCTAAGCATTTCCTTATTCCGGAACGCCCGTTTCACTTTTGAAATAGCCCGTTCCGGGCAACGAATTGGGCCCTTGGCCCAGTGAAAAATTGGGTTGTTACAATACTCCCCTCCTTTATGAAATTTCGTCCCCGAAATTTTTTTTTTGCAATGGTAGACTCCTCGCTTCTTACTTTCTAATTCTTATGCAACCTCACTACTTTATTCATGTACAACTCTATCAATTTCACCAAGGAATTTCTAAGGGTAAGACAAGTAAACTTGGCGAGCCTATCCACTCATCATCTTACTTCCAAAATAGGACGTCTAAGTGCTACAAAAATTCTTAAAGACTTGTAGCATACTAAACACTAGTATACAATTTCTCTACTCCTCTCTTCACCTTAGGCCACCATGCTTCTGTTGCACCACTCTGATACATCCTCCTAAGGTCTCGATACATCTCATTAACTCCTAAATATATGTTAAGAGTATTGTTATGTCCTTCCTATAAATCATCTTTCTTAATTCAAGGTCACTAAACACCCAAGTTTGCTCTTGCACCTCAAAACAACGTCGATTTCTACTCAGAAATGGTTATCTATACTTCTACCAATCTTCTCCACTTGGTTCCCTAAGAAAGGA